GATATTTTCCTTCCTTTTCTTTACTCTGACGTTTGCCCACAGAACAGCGAAGGTTACTTACCCTGTCATGTTGATCTTCATTTTCTTGTCGGCCTAAACAGAAAATTATTTGGATATTAAAGACATTGTTTTGTTTAATTAGTACTATTAATTCAGTTTATACTTTAGTCTTTTCCTTAAAAAGAAGGTAAACAACTTTAACTGTTTTGGCCAAATTATCTTCGTTCGTTATTTGTTTAAATGTAAGGAAAAAGGATTGGGACAAAGCTCAACTCGATGTAGTGCCAGATTCGTCACGTCTTTCGTTCGTGCACAAACCATTATCCAACATTCTGCCTCGTTTTGGAAAGTATTAGAAACAAGACTGGTGTACGCGCCTTATTCAGTTGAAGCTGTAAACTTTGATGAAATCAATATTTACCTCAATATTCAATCCTCTTCTTTCGCATTCGGCTTCGTAAGCGGAAATCTGTGTAGCTAGCTCACAAATTTCCGCCTTGCGTTGTTGTTGATTTTTTTTCAGCCTGGTGGAATGACAAGATGAGTTACGGCCGCGCTAAAGCACAGATGACATCAGATCTCATGGGGCTTATCAAAAATTTCTCATGTCAAAACTTGTTACTGGATGACATAATTTAAAAAATCACATACTGAAATTACAACGAGACCTGTTTTCAGAGGACTTTGCAGACACTATAAAAATTATGGGAGGGGAATGGGAATTTTGGTTTCGTCACATTAAAAATTACCACACCCCCTCCTCCCAGGCTCTATAGTATTTTAATGAAACCCCTCTATTTGGCAGTCAATTTTCGATAGTTCTTCCTTTCTACTCTTTTAGCAACGACTGATTCCACCCGGGTACTCCTGAAAAACTATGTGATACCCCAAAACCACCCTCGATAGCGATCTCTAAGCTCACAAAATATAAAAACATTTTTAAATTGATATTATCACTTACTCTCTCTCTTTGTCCGAAAGGACTTTCTTGTATTTCAGTTCCTACAATTTACATTGGGAAAAAATGGTGCATTCAAACGGTTCTCATAAACTCTGAAGCTAAAAGGTTTAGATCAGCTACGCCCGTGTTTAACAAAGTTTATTGCCATTAATCAGTTCATTTCAATAGTAAAGGGTTATGAGCCTAACGACGTTGCTAGGCAACAAGCTGAAAGAGGATTACTTTGTAGCCTATTTAAAGGAATCAAATATTAACCAAAATGCTTGGTATTTTTGCCAGGGTCTTTTCACAGAAAGAAAATTTACCTTCATGTTGTTTCCATTAATTTTGCTTTCGCTTTATTGACGAAGTCTGTGGAAAAATGAGAGCTGAAATGAGTCAACACGGGGACTGAAGCAGTCAGATAATAAGATGTAACATCAAAAACCTGGTCGACATAATGGTCACATAACCTCAGAGTGAGATCAGACTCGCGCCCAACCTTTCCTCTGCTAAGGGACCCGTTATAATTATCAGTTATCACCTGGGGCTGGCTGGGAGGATTTTGAGGGGTTCAAATGGTTTTTAGGGGGGAACAGAGGGGGATCATTTGTCGTTAACCCAGGGAGTATGAAGGGAAGACTTTAGGAAACTAACTGCCAATGAAGGAGAAGGGGGGA